TGAACCTTTTCCACTTCCACTGCTGATCACTGCCTTGACAAGGTAAAGAAACAGGTGAGACGAAGTGCTTTAATTAAAGCTCAACTTCAGTAACTCATCTGATATAGCCCTAGACAGACCCAATGGGTGCCTGTAGATAGTTTTATCTCTCTCAGTAGTAATTATGATTGATATTTTAAAATCATAACTATTACTAAGAAAGTAGTATCTTACTTCCATAATAGCAGTTATGTTTTTTATCTTGGTTGTGGTTTTTTTCAACCTCTTTGGGATGCCAACAGCCATCTTTCTCTCCCACCTCCAAACAAACCAGGTCTTTTATTGCATTCATGCAATGAGTTAAAGTTACATGAAATAAAGTCCATTGCATTTAATGAAGGTAAAACGAGGATCAGTGAAAGATTTGTCTTCGTACTGCTCCAGACATTAAGAATTCCAATTCTTTCTTGTATTTTCTCTGATTCTAATTAAGCTAGGAAACTGAAATGTTTATGATATAAATACCTTAACCAAGCATTGAAAAACTTTTAATCTACTACAATTTGATCCTGCCTTCTTTATCAGCCAATGAGGTTTCTGCCCTGCTGTGTGGAAGTAAAAAAACCCATTAGGCTCTTGACAGCCTAGCAATGAAGGAAAAATTCCTTGCCAGATTCAGAGAAGGTGGCGGCAGTTAATTCCAAGTCTCTAGCAATTCCTGTACTTTACCATACGCTATCTCATGGGTAAAGGGATGGGAGAATGCTAGCGGAGCAAGTGACGGACATGACCCACAAGATCAAGTGCAAATTGGTAGGCAATGGAACTTAAGGAAATTTTCCGGCTCCAAGAGGTCGCTTGAATGATCAAAATCAATAAAACCTGGCAGTGTGGGAGGGTGAAATAAGGTGATTATAAGCGCCTGGTGGTAATAGTCCATCTGCAGGAAGCAGAAATATTTGGCTCTAGTGGAAAATATCTTTTTGTAAAGTAGTAAAGTTTAATTAATATCTTTGAACCATTAACAGTCAGATACCTGTCCATACAATATCAATTGATCACTGGATTCTGTTACTAGACTAAAAGTCTGCTACTCTGAAACAGTGTTATAGCTTAAATTGAAAACTTTATCACTGCAAATCATCTGTAAAATTCATTATATCTCAATTATACATCAATTAAAGCAGTTTTTGAATAAGAGCTGTAAATGTAATACAGGTTAGTTTTACACTACTTTACTACTGCATCTTGACTCTAGATCAGCTGTATATTCCCTGTTGTGAAGGATAAGAGTTTTAACCCTCGTACTTCCATGTATTTAATTACAGAACCAGGTCTTTCTGTGAAGTCTCAGTGACCTTATAATGCACTATGTAAAGATTTAGTTAACAACTAACAACAACATGTATGTGTGAGATAAAGGTGGAAGGTGAGCTATGAAGTGTGTGAAAGTGCAGAACAAAACTGTAGCAATTCATGTATTTGTTTGGGACATATTGGTAGCTACTGTATGATTATACTGATTATCTGCATAATTAATGTATGCATCTGGTTTCATTTAATAGCAATATTTTAGGAAATTAAGCAAGAGGCAAAGCTATGAATCCAAAATAAACATGACAAAAGAAATCTTAGGATTAAAATCTTAGATACAATAACCAAGCAATTAGCTCGGTATGGCATGAAACTAATTACAGGCTCCTCACAAAGCTACGTAGCCTTAAGGATGCCTTAAGCCAATTTAAAATCACACCGATACTTAAAGGTGTAATTCTACCCTTTCCCTCATCACAGTCTTCTGTTCTCACTAGTTCTCTTTAGCGGCTCTAGCGATCTTGCAGTGTCAAGTTGAACAAGCTCTGCTCACTGATCCAACTAAAACTAGGTCTAAAACCAAAAAATCCCGATTCCCAGTCAAGCAAGTTAGTTAAGTCATCATTCAGTTACACAACTGTTATTGCTGATGAAAGGCATATGGTGGGAGGGAGAGTAAGACTGTCCTTAGATGCACACTTCTTGGTCTTCTTCACCTGATCATTAAACAACAGTATTCTTTCCTGTTATGAAAATACTGATATGAAAATACTATTGACTCAGATGTACCAGGAAAGCCTAATATCATTGTAGTATGAAAAATATCAGTGGCATGGCCAAAGTAAGCTCTATTAGTAAAGGAGTAGGTTTGCAAGATAACCAGTACAGATATATCAATGAAGGACTATATCTCTTAATATCCCACACCAACACAGCTCTGCATATACAGACTAGCATTTTAAAAGTGACTCTGTATCAGTAGAAGAGAAGCCACTTGTTAGGTTGTTCAGGAGCAACAGACTGCCACAGTAGAGTCTGAAGCAGGTAAACTGTCTAAGCTTCTACCAGGATGGTAAATCTTGCTAAATCATATACAAAACTGAAATATATTTTTTCTTGAATGTTATAGTGTCTCTCTACTGTCAGGATAAAAAAATTTGATTTAGAGAAAGCAGGTGGGTCAGAGCTATGAAACTGAAGCAGCAGAACAGGCAGTACTTGGCAGACAGATATGGAAATGGAGAACTTGATCTAAGAGTTGGGATTTCTGCCCCGCAGAGGTAAAGGTCCAATAAACCACCGGAATTTGGAAGGGGTCTCTAACTGTGACAGAAGAGCTACAATACAGTGACATTAACAAAGACATAAGGAACTGCATGGTTCCCCCCCCAGCTTTCCCTCCATTCCAAATCCAGCCAGCTACACTTGTTGAGGGGAGAAGCACAAGGTCATGTTCCACATTATGAACGTGTGTTGTCCCTGGGGAAACAGCGCAAGGCTTTCCAGTCAATTCACTCCTGCTAAGGCACAGCATTAGCAAAGTGACAGAGATTTTCTCCAAATTATTAGAAAAGCTAGAAGAGTGCAGAGTGTGATATATATATACACTTCCAAACTACCAGCGCATGCTTCCATGTTCATAAACATCAATTCTGCACAGGGACAGTGTGATCTAAAGAAGCTGCAGTGGACGACCATATATTCTGAACCATTTCTGAACTATGAAAAAATAGTTTTCTCATATTTTCTTTATCATGTTCTGAGACATACGGGTTCAGAGGAAGCATGGGAAGATGTGAGAAGAACTTAGAACCGTGTAAAACAGAATATTCTCCAACAAAATCAGTCTCTAAGGAGTCTGCCAACTTAAAGGGATACATTCCCAAATTACTAAAACATCAATTCTACATGATTAAATACAATAGCTGGTTAATAAGTTACAATTATTTCATATGTCTAAGGACATGAAATGAAAATATCTGTACTCAATAGAAACAAATTGCAAATAGGAAATGTTCAGTAGAACACAGCTACCCAAACTGGAATTTAAGAAGAGTATAAGTATTAATGCTTTTTAACCCTCCCAAAAGCCTTATAAGACATAAAATAGTTAAAAGCCTGGTATGTGCTGAATTGCCAGATCAATTTTTACAGTATATAGAAGCAATAAAATTAATGGCTTGGGCAACTTTGCTTATGATAGCCAACTGCATCAGAGCATAGAAAAGCATTGTGTCAGCTAGTATTACTTACTCACACATCTGTTATCATCTATCAGTATTCTGTCCCCTCGACATGAACAGTTCACTCGTCCATCAGGAGTCAGAAGGCATAAATCATGACAACCTCCATTCATTTGTGCACAAGGAGATAACTCACCTGAAAAACAAATGATAAAAGATGGAGTCTGTTTTATTAAATTTGCTTCAATGGCCAACGCCTTTGAGAGAGCAAAGATCACCGCATCTCAGATTCATGGGCAATTGATTCAAGTTTTATCAGTCAGATGAAAATGCCAGCGTGCCTCAGATGCTAGCATACTAAAGATAAACAAACGGAGTTACCTTGACTATAATAATTTAAAACCCCCACAACATTCAAAACTGCTGATATTTGACAGGAAATGATTTAACTGCTATCAAATAAGCACAACGTCCATAGCAGAAAATGGTCATTCAATAATATTTATTTACTTGGGGAAGAGGTTATATCCCATCTTTTGTTAACAGTTCCTACAACAAAAAAAAATTATGAAACACCATGAAATGTTTTAACTTGGTTAAAACTAAGTAAAATTCTTGAAATGAATGATACTGGAATTAACAAAATAGTGTCTCTTGCTTTATGACTTACAACTGTTAGTATCGTTGGCAACAGCAATAATGCCCATTGGCTGATGTGGGATATCAGAACGAAGAACTTTTGTATCTCCTCCTGTATATTTACTAGAACGCAGAATAGCTCTCCTCACTCCATCTGACCAGAAGATATAATCATCATATACAGCCAGGCTGAGAAAGGTACCTGGTCCAGATTTGACAATTACCTAGAATACATAAGTACAGAAGAGAAGCATGAGAAGGAATGCTGTCTCTGAATAAGAAGTTTTAAAAGCGCAAACTGTGACTCACATCACTTTATAGTTTTAGACAACACACTTAATTTTTCTATACTTACAGCACCTGGAAGAATGAGATAACAGCACTTAAAATGTGTTAAAAGGATGCTACAAGGGTTTACTTATTATTTCTCGATACGTCCAAACTTCAGAAATTCAGGAATCTGTTCCTTAAGTAATCTAAATGTGCTTGTAAAAATACCTATGCAGCACACTGCCTGCTTAATAGCCCGAACAGAACAGAGAAAAAGAGGTACCGTAGTATGGCTGAAAGTCTAAAAATTCTGAGTCTTTATGAATCGAAGCCAGAAGCATGTTTCAGAACTGAAAAGCGTTCACCACTACAATCACATTAGAAACTTGAACCCAAGACAATAAATGTTTTGTGTTTTCCAATTAAAAAAAAATCTCCTCAGTCACCATACTAATTATCAGTTTAAAACATAGAAAGAAAATGTGAATTGCAGTTCACTACAGCTATGCCTTGGAGATTAAGAAGGTGCCCTAACTCTGCGGTATTCAATACCAAGTAATGCTTCAGTGGCAGTTTGTTCACACCTCTGCCAGTTCCCTGCCCAGGGCCAGGGAGTGAACAGACTCCAAAACAGCAGCTTGCAAAATGCCTTTGGGAATGTCCTTGGACTGACTCAGTGCCAAACTACTCTCAAGAACTGTCTGGAAAAAGCATTAGCTCTTTGCACAGGCAAAGTTGAGACACGTGGACATTTCAACAATTTGCTAACAAATAATTGTATTCAGTGCACAGGAGCATTCCTGGCCATGTTTAAATTCACTTATACAGATATAGTGTCAAAATTACTTCTTAATCAGATAATTATAACAAATTCTGCACCACTATGCACTTTATATATGTCTGTTTATTTGTAAGAAGGTTTGACCAGCAAATCCTTTATTCCAGCGAAGACTTTTTCCAGTGATAAATGTCCCAGGAGGACAACTTTTCTCTAACTAATCTTTTTTCAAAATTAGAAGTATTAAAAGATAGGTGCGAATGTATTAATGGCAAAAAGACCTCTTCCGCAATTGTGCACATTTACTGTAAAACACTTTTCATAATACACTCTTAAAAGCCTATGCTATTCGTATTCAGACACATTTCAGGGAAAAAAAAAAAAAAATCATGTACGTTTCTGAAAGATCTGTACAAAATCTGGCCATGCGGATTTTGCAATCTCATATAATAAGTTCTCCATGGTAATGTGAAACTGTCCCAATTTGAAGGATTTTATAGTCACAACCAATGCCAAGGAAGGCACTACTCTGTTCAGCGTTCTCTGTTCTGTAACACCATCATACTTTTTCTTAAATTGTAACAAAGGAATGTAAATTCATTGCAGAACTGATCATCATTGTTCAACCTTGCGAGAGTCGAGATCCAAATAAAGGGTCACAAAAGCTAACATCCAGGAATGTTTGTTCACTAATGCTCGTAGCATTTCATTCACCAAGGTTTCCTCTATGATGTCACAGCACTATCCAAGGACACTGGTTTTATTTCAGCATCCAAAAGGAAGAGTTCCTATTTCTGCCAGCTTTTGGCCAACTTTACAGCCCTTTTAACATTCTAGTTTATACAATAATGCTGAAAATGACTGACTTTTTTTTTTTTTTTTTTTTTTAAATCTTGATAGCACTCCTGCATGATCAGAAGTAACCGAAAATGAAAGTCTTCTTTAAAAGCCTGTTCATCCTTTGGTTACCTGCCAAATCACATTTAAGTCCTGAGGATTCAGTGTCAACCAAATTTGCTGTGTATCAAACTTGTTTTAAGTCATCTATGTTTCTAAATCTTGTATTCTGTACAGCTTGCATGTTCATTTTCCCAGCACTGTCTGCAGCTCTGGTCAGAGATATCTGCAGATTCACCAGCAGGATCATGTAACAAAAATTCAGGTTCTTACACTGTGACCCTACTGAAATCCTCCTTGGGTGGCCCCATCTGGCTCGCCCAGGAGGGGTAGGAAGCACAAAAGGGTCTGCCCTCTACTTCCTGCTTCCTTTTTTCTTGCTGATTGCTTGTCTCTAACAAAAATAATGACGGAAGCCAATACAGCACTTTGCAGATTTACTCCTCTGAGTTATTGATAGTAATCTTATAAGCGTTGGATCAAGACATAAGACGACTGCCGCAGTCTTTCAGGGAATGCATATACCCAAATACATAACACAGAGAAGAAAGCCAAGGAAGAATCAGTGATCACCATTCAAACGTAAGAAAAATGATGTTTTCAAACTGTAAAAACTCCAAGATAATCAACCTGTAGCAAGTTTTATATAAACTAGTGGCTGGGTAGCAGCAAATGACCCAAAGCACTGCTCCCACTTACGAGAATACAGGCAAAAACCTCTTCACGTATCCCATCTGGAAGCACAATATCAACACAAACATAATGCCCAGTTAATCCGCAATCGTAAAACTGCAGTATATGCTGCCTGTTGTTCAAATAAGGTTGCATAATGTGTGCTGGAATTGGAGAGCCATTGTGTATGCTGAGTCAGAGGAAAAAAGGACACAATTCCATAAGAAACTGACCATCTATGTTACACAGTGTACCATACATGGAATAACTTTTTAACATGTGCAGACAATACACAGGTAAAGAGAACTAGAAGGTACAACCTCAACCATCAAATTTAGTCAAGCATGATATAGATCACAATGTCACAGAAATTTAATTCACAAAGGCCACATTCATGCACTCCCTCAAACTATTGCAGTACTGTATAAATGCTTAAGACCTTTTCCACAAAGGCCTTTCTGCCAAAAAGCACACTGTACCACAGAAAAAAAGTAATAATAATTATGGTCATCAGCAATGTTTTCGATCACAGAAGAGGGAAATGTGGTACTGAATGAACGTGCACACATTGAAAAAAGCAATGCATTGCCATTCTGCATTACAAAGATCTGAACTGAACAGATTTTTTTTTTACAGTAGGAAGTTTTTAAACAGGGTTTTTAACAGTATGAAACAAAATCAATCCTATAAAGACCCTGTCTTGACATATTTTATCATAAGTCTAAATTGATACCAAAAATTGCAAAAATATATGTACAGTTTTAAAATATTAAGGAAACCTGAATAAGACATCCCTACCATCCCTTCCGCATGAACCAGTGAAGTCAGACACATCACATGTTTTAATACTGAATGATACTGACATTCAGTTACAGCATGTCCTTCGAGCTCTGAATAACAGATGAAAAGTTTTCTCTGCTTCCTGCAAAGAGATAAGGAGACTTGGGGTTGGGGGAGGAATGTCACAAGTATCAGGGTAATTTAATTTTAACTATGATCCTTTCTTTTTTAAGTTCTGATTTTTAAATTCTCCAGACAGCTTTTGTTTTAACATATAGCTGCTCTAAATTTTAGGTATGTGTAGCAGTTTCTCTATAAAAACATGATTGAAAAAGGGGAGAAGCCAGTCAGGTAGACATGTCAGACAGACAAGAATTTGTGCCAGAATACTATAATTTGAATGTTTTATATAAAAATTCTTATTAGATTGTAAGAATTAGATTCTTAACAATTCTTACCATGACAATGCTTAACTTTTATAGAAAGGTTTTCTTTAAAGATGTGTGCATAAAGTTAATGCATCAGCTTAAAATAGGAGTTGCTTTTAAGTATTTTAACTCTAATGAATGGCTTATTGATAATACTTCTCTTTCAAAATGCTTAATAAATGGACAGTGCGATCCAATAAAGCTTTTAAAGGTTTTCTAAGGGCTCTTTACTCTTCTAAAGATACCCAAATCTACTTAGAGGTCTATAACAGAATGACAAGCTAGTATAGAAAACTACATTTAAAAAGATTAAAATTAATGACAATTTAAAGTCAATTGCATAATAAAATCATTATACAAGTATAAAGCAGTATCAGTAATCTAAAAACAAATAACGTTAGATGAGTATCAGAAAACTCAGTCTGACAGAACTGACTTATACAGAACGCATTAATCTAAAATAAGCTAATGTATTTCAGTCTTTCAAATGAAAGACATAAAATAGTATGCCATATTTATTATTGAGTTATGAATATTGTTTTTAAAAGAGTATAAACAAGGAATCTATGAAAAAAAAATTATATGAGACTGTGATACAGGGAAACCAGTTGCACAGCCAGAGGAAAAAAATAATCTAAGTCATAACTTTTATGTATTTGATTTAGCCACCTAAAAAACAAACACTTAGACCAGACTCCTTGTTTTTCTTGTTATTTATGTGGTTGCTTTAATAAAAAGAAAAAGTGCTATCTCTTGCTGGATAAACAAATCTATCAGCCTTAATCTGGAGTATCCAAATTCTGCCCTTCCAACATTGTGGTGTTACTAGGACAAAAAGGTTATGTTAACCAGAAAAAAAACAATTGGGGGG